GTCCTGTATTTAATCCCTGTGCCCGTCTTAGTACTGTTTATATTTAGTTGAATGTGAATGGTTTATGTTGTTTGTTGTTGCGTGTGCCCGTGTTGTTGTTTTGTTGTGATTGTTGTTAGTGGTGATGATTGGTTACGCCATTGCAACCGCTTTACCTAGGGACGCTAGCATGACCGCTCGGTTGTCGTGGCACTACTCGTTCGGCTATGCCAAGGTATTTGCCGGGTCGGTCGACCGAGTCATCGCTAGCCCGCCCGCACATGACCACTGTCCACTCAAGAGTCATCTTCTCGGTGATGCTGCGAGATAAAAATGTCCATTCGTTCGCGGTCAATGTGAGCTGGATCGAAGCTCGAGTAGACATAAGCAATCACTGGTTCGCCTTTAATCGCCCGACTCTGGGCTCAAACCTGGAGATAACGCTGTGAGATTTAACAGGCGCGTTGGGGTGGGGGTGTGACCAAGTGGCGGGGGGGGGTACGTGCGGCCTGAATGAGACCGAAAATTGAAGCCGGAAGGAATCAGTAGGCGATGAGCGAGACAGAGAATTAGTCAGAAACATGGGAAATATTGGCGGGAGATGGGTCGGCGAGCGAGAGCATGAAGATGGCGGCGAGACAGAGAGGGGAGAGAGAGACAGAGGGAGAGAGAAAGAGAGAGAGAGAGGGGGATAGAGAACAGGGAGAGAGCGAGAGGGGGGATAAAGAGAGAGGAGAGAGAGAGGGGGTATAAAGAGAGGAGCAGAGCTGCGCTAGAAGCCCGTAAAAAATCATGAGAGCCGAAAGAAAGAAATGAAGAACGAAAGTTTTCCCGAAATAAATATACAGAAGCGAAGAGAACAATAAACGCAAGCGAAAGAGAGAGAGAGCACGCGCGAGATAGGAGAAGAAAAACGATGCGGAGCAAGAGCGAGACGAGAGAGCAGAAGAGATGAGAGACGAGAGAGCCGAAATGAAGAATGATTACACGGACTCTTTTACACACATACAGCTATCATCCAATTTCTACAAGATATATACCAACCGTCCTGAGACACATTTATATTATAATGTATTGAAATGCTAAATTATGAGGCCTATTCATCCGGAATATAGTTTTTTTAATCAGAAGTTCCCGGAAAAACGACCGAGAGTTGATATAACGAACAAAGCTTGCTAAATTAACTAAAAACATGCATATATGTTGCGCGCAATCTTGCTATTTGCGCACATACACACACGCACGCACGCACGCACACGCACGCACGCACGCACACGCACGCACACGTACACACACACACACACACACACACACACACACACATATTATATATATATATATATATATGGTTTAAACTGCTACATCAGATAGTACTGTAGTTCAGTGTTTAGTAGCAAGGCTCACCGTGTACTGTGAGGAAGACCAGGCGGCTGAGGTCAGATCCCACGCCATTGCTGGCCTGACATAGGTAGTGACCGTGGTCACTCTCACTCGCCTTGTCGATCTGCAGGGTTCCGTTGGTGAACGTGTGTGCGTGGGTGGGACTCAGGTGGCTGTAGAGAAAGTGAGCTTCATCCACGCCTGCGGGGAGAAATAAATACGTCATGCTTACTCTCTTTTTCTCTCGTTACGATTCTGTCCTGGTATCTACGAAAAACAATATGATTGTAATTTTATCATCTTTGAAAACAATTGTTTCCTATAATTTTGGCATTGTATTCTCTGTGTTGTATTCACTGTGTTGTGTGTCTGTGTCTGTTGCTATATTGCGTTGTTGTACAGTTTTGCTGTTGTGTGTGTGTTGTTGTATGTTGTACTGTGTTGCCGTGTGTGTAACGTCAACACAACATCAGAGAGCTAGCTATATGCACGACGTGGGGGGGGGGTCCCCATCTATGTCGTAAACAGACTTCGATGCCAGACTGCCTGCCCCGTCACTGCCGACCCCACTCCACGCACACACAATAAATCCATCACTGCTCGTCGATTTAGCCTCAAATTAAGAAGAATGCTCTTCATTTGTGTAACGAAATCTAATCAGCAGCCTCTCAATCTCGCATCTCGAGCGAGTTACAGCGTAGTGTGTAGGCACGGCTATTGTTAATGTTAATTTAGGCGAACAGTGAAAAGAACGCGCATTTGAATTTCTAAATGCGCAAAATCGGTCAATTTTTGCGAGAGAGCGAGAGACTAATTAGGAATCTGCAGTCCCGCTGTGCCTCATTATGTCCTCAGCATCCCCGGACGCTGCGTGCTCCGGAAGATGCGGACGCCTACTCGGCGAATTGTTAGCGAACATAGGGTCGCCGCAGCGTAAACCAACGCCATCGTCATGGGCGCCGCCGCTCACTGTAAGACATCATCGTCACGGGCGCCGCCACTCACAGAAACAGAAATAGTGCGGCGGACTCGCACACCGACTTGGCGCGGCGGTAATTCGGCGCGCACTAATTTTTTCCGCTCTCTCACCTGGTATTTGTTTTTTCCAGTTGACGGTCGGCGTGGGCGAGCCAGTCGTCCTACAGTCCATCCTGATGGACGCACCAAGCACGACAGAGCTGTCCCTCGGCTCCACGACCCAAGATGGCGGCACTGCAACACGTGCATGCGCACACGATGAGCGGACGTCGCACGGAGCGACGGTAAACGAAGTGGTTGTTTATAGTAACGTGGTTGTTTATAGTAAGCGGTTAACAGAAATAAATAAACTTATAACTAACTTTGAATGACACAAGATATCACAAGACGCCGCCAAATGTTCTGCCATGTGATGCCACCGTGGCCAAATCAATAAATACCAATCAATACGAGAATGATTACCTAATACCGGAACTTTAATTCTTGCCTCTAACCTTACCTTCCAGCTTACCTATAATGCTTAGCAGTTTAATGTAGTAGGTCGTCACTAACAGTGTAACACGTACCGTCTACAATCAGCTGCGATGTGTAGCTGACGCTGGCAGCGCCGTTGCTAGCGACGCACGTGTAGTTGCCGTTATGCACGGGCGTGACCTTAGGAATCGTGAAGGTCGACACAAACTCGCTCGGCCTCGACATTTCCACCATCAGTCCCGAGGGTATCGCCTCGCCATCCTTCTGCCACCTGCGTCAGAGACGATGCGATGTGACGCAAGCCGATCAATCTAGCTCGCGTCGCTGTTGCGTCAGCGTCAGTTACACGCGACGGAATGAATTGATGCAACTCAAATTGGCTGCGGTGCCTCTGTAACTGCGTCACGGATAACATCGCAAGATAGGTCGCGTCAGTGATAGCGTCAGTGATAGCGTCAGTGATAGCGTCACGGGCTCAGCCTCACAACTGTTATTACAGTTTGCGTCAGGGAACGTACCACATGCACGACTCCATTAAAGATCAAATAATAACTAAAACTGTGAAAATCTCAGTAATCGGAAAATCCTGAAAGACTCAGCATGACGTCATAAACCATAACTGCCTACATACAACGCTAGATTCTGCTAGTGAATGAAGAGTCGGGGTTCCAATAACATAATACCCCCCAGCGCGCGCAAGTGTTTGCGTGCATGTGTGTGTGAAAGGAGTGTCTGACAGTGAAGATATGTATATATGTATGTATGTATGTGTGGTATTCAAGTTTTCTAATCTCACGTATGAAGCCTATAGTAGATATAGATGCGGTTTATATAGAAAGCCATCCGGGCGGACCTTAGGAAGAGATGCCTGGCGCGTCGCACAGCAGCTGTGGTTAGCAAAATATATATATATATATATATATATATAGCCACTCGATACATAGAGCGTGAATCTCGGCTTGGCCAGACTTCTTTACATGTGAAAGCAGTAGTCATCGTACGGTCTGCCCTGCGCGAAAGGTATCAAGATAATGCGACACGGAGCGACGGTTTCTCTAAAAGTAGCATCGCGCCGATGTTTGCTGTGCCTGGTCAGGGATTAAGTTAAGTCGGTTTTAGTGTACGATGATAGCAATTCTAACCGTTCATTCGTCGGGTTACGGTAAATGTTTGTATTCAATTTGCAAATGTAAAGACTTCGTTCTGGGGACCGCTGTCAAATACGAACCACTCACATTTCCCTATACAGCTTCATTCTAATTTAATTGTCATACGAAATAATAGAATTCCGAAAGGTTATTATATCCGCTCCGTCTCCCACGACAGTATTATCATTTTTTCTTCCCCATCTACAACACTGTCATCACCCACTACCCCATGCCATTCATTTTTCTTCCTCCCACACGACATCACTCCCAACCCCTACTCCCACAATAAAACCGCTGTCACTTTCCCAATCCCCAACATCTTACCGTCGCTCAGTGACAGTGTGCTGTTGTCTATGCGTGCTTGTTCTAATGCAGAGGGTTAAACGTTGACAGACAACCGTGACGTCACCGCGGTTCCCGGGTCTGAACAAGCGCTAGTTCAAACACTATACACGCAGTGACGGACGGGTGGCAATCCGACGCATATTCCCTCGTGTTTACACAGATTTTTAGTCAAATAATTTGCAGAAATAATTACCGCGTAAAAAGGTCATGTTTACCGGCGGAATTATCGACTGCAGCCCCAGCTGTTTCTGCAGCCACACTGTTTCTTCAACCACACTGTGTCTTCAGTCTGCAGCCCCATTGTGGGTCGGGTTGGAGCAGGCCATAAAGGAAGTATGGGACAGCGAGTATACTATTACATGCAGTATACGTTGATAGTAAACCTCAGAAGAAGTGTGTAGTATATGTCATAATATTATTGTCTTCTACACGTCGTATAGAGTATCCCATGCAGTATGTTTAACCTCGTAGCAAAGGAGTAGAAGACGAAGGCGTACGGTTACGGTTACAGGTATTAAACACAAGGCGTCACTACCGCAGGTAAAAACCCCGTTCAGCTTCAACGCATCGACTGCTTGACGTAATTAGGGTTAAATCACGAATCTGCAACTCTGTGATGAGATCGCACTTTCTCGGACGAAACCCTCCCGTCGCTGGTTCGCGGACCCGCCACCAGGCGGCGGTGTATGACCTCACCTTCTTCCTCCGTGGTAGCAGTGACGACGGCGCTAGTGTCGCTCCTGCCCAGAGCGTTCTCCGCATGCAGGCGGAACTGGTACGTGTAGGCGGGATGAAAGCCCCGGATGGTCGTCACGGTGGCGTTCGCCGGCAGGTCCTGCATCCGGGTATCCGTCCACCGACCTGTCACCAACGACATGCTCACTTGTTATAGCATGCAACTTCATTGAGTAGGATCGTAGTTAGCTAGTTGCGACACTTAGTAGGTACAACTAATTATAACTACTACTTACGCTATAACTAATCTAGTTACGGGGTGACACATGTACCCGCACCCACACTTCTACCTACTTTAACCGTAGCGTAAAATACGTTCACTTGTTTTGATGTGTTTTTATTCGTTTCCATGAGTTTTAGGTGTTGATGTGTATTTTTATGTGTTTACGTTGCGTATTTGGTCTCACTCACCCGTTACGTTCTGATACTCGATGATGTATTTGAGTATTTCGCTGTTGCCGTCGTAAGGTCTGTTCCACGATATCTGTATAGTCCGGCTGCTGACCCCGGTGACCTTGACCTGACCCGGAGGTTCTGGTTTTTCTGCAATACACGATCGACACGAATTACGTCATAGCATTAAGGAAGAGTGAATAATTAACGGGTAATTAGTGTAAATGAAGTAATTCCCGCTGCTGGATTGCTTAATTACGTCATCAGCTTCGCAGTCCAAGTCCAAAGCCGTCGAAGCATAATATCGCAGTAAAAAATGAGGATTTTATGTTTTTCGTAGAATATATACGGTAGCTACATATATCTAGACACGGTTCCACGCATATGCGCGTGAAATGCGCAACGAGAATAGAACGTCTTGCTACCAGTCCGTAGCAACATGGCCGCCACGCAGACACCACGCGCGGGCCTGGAGCGCTGGTCACGCCCCCTGTCCTATTGATGCCGACGTCACTTCCCTCCCGTCATTCAGAGCATGTATCGCGGTCGCAGACAAATAAAACAAGGGATACAGTCGCTGCTTCCAGACAGCTCAGTGTTGGGCTGTATGTTGTTGAGCGACGGCCATGGTTGTCAAAAATTAACTTCTCGTTAGCGGTCCGTAATTAAACTGCCTTGCGTTAACGCTCTCACGACTCTGATTGTCGGCTGTCCTGTTAATCCGCCTGTGCCGTCGTTAGGGTACTGGTTGTTATATGGAGTTAGGGTGGTAATGGTGGCATTGTTGATGTTGTTGTTGTTGTTCGTGGTGGCGGTGTTGTTGTTGTTGATGTTGTTGTTGTTGTTCGTGGTGGCGGTGTTGTTGTTGTTGTTGTTGTTGTTGTTAGTGGTGATGATGGTTACGCCATGGCAACGGTTACCTAGGACGCTGAGCATGACGCTGCGGCTGTCGTGGCCGTACTCGTTCGTGGCGATGCAAGTGTATTTGCCGGAGTCGGTGCGCCCGGCGGAGGCAATACGCAGCCGCGCGCCCATGCCACTGTCCGACTCAAAGTCACTCTCGGTGATGCTGCGAGATAAAATGTCCATTAGTTGGTCGAATGTGAGCGGGAATCGAAGCGTTCGGTAGACATTAAGAATTCAGCTGGTTCGCTTTAATCGCCGACTCTGGGGCTCAAACGCGGAGATAACGCTGTGAGATTGAACAGGCGCGGTTGGGGGTGGGGGTGGGGGGTGTACGGTGCGGGTGAATTAGACGGAAACTGAAGCGGAAGGAATCAGTGGGCGATGAAGCGAGAGAGAAATAGAGAAACTGGGAGATAGTGGGGGGAGATGGGTCGAGCGAGCGAGAGTGAGAGATGGGGGGAGAGAGAGAGGGGGGAGAGAGAGACAGAGGGGGAGAGAGAAAGGGAGAGAGAGAGGGGGGGATAAAGAGAGAGGGAGGCAGGGAGAGCATGCGCTAGAAGGTAAATAAATCATGAGAGCGAAAGAAAGAAATGAAGAGAGAGAAAGGTTTTCCCGAAATAAATATACAGAGAGCGAGAGAGAACAATAAACGCAAAGGGAGAGAGCGCGCGTGCGAGATAGAGAGAGAAAGAAAACGAGCGAGAGAGAGGGAGAGCGAAAATGAGAGAATGATTTAGCATCGGTGAGCCAAGCAGGTAGCACGCCCGCACGCCCGCACGCACGCACGCCCGCACGCACGCACGGCAGCGGAAGGATATCACAGCGGAGGCTGCTGGCGCGTGCGCGCACGAAGTAAAAACCCATCATCCTCACCGCGGAAGTAATCGCGATGAAAGAAAGGCCGTTCGATTAGTGACGGATTCGCGGAATTATTATTCAAATACGACGGTGGCTGTAATTACGCCGACGTTTTGATCAGTTGCTATCGTCTGCTGAGAGTGCGGCGCGGGAGCGCAATCATTCTCTAGTTCTCCGTTTAGCATCGCGAGAGAATAATGCGTGTGTGCGAAAGAAAGAGAAAGAGAAGGAGAGAGAGGGAGAAGAGAGAGAGGAGAGAGAGAGAGCGAGCGAGAGAGAGAGATGAGAGGAGACGAGAGAGAGAGAGAGAGAGAGAGAGAGGGAGAGAGGGAGAGAGAGAGAGATGAGAGAGAGAGAGAAGAGAGAGAGAGAGAGGGAGAGAGAGGGAGAGCGAGAGAGAGAGACGAGAGAAGAGAGAGGCGAGGCGAGAGAGAGAGAGAGCGAGCGAGAGAGAGAGAGAGAGAGAGAGAGAGAGAGAGAGAGGGAGAGAGAGAGAGAGAGAGAGAGAGAGAGAGAGAGAGAGAGCGCGTGCGAAAGAAAGAGAGATAGAGGGAGAGAGAGGGAGAGAGAGGGAGTAAGGGAGAGCGAGAAGGTTCCCAAAGAGCGGGAGGGAGAGAGAGAGACAGTGAGAGAAACAAGTGAGAGATAGAGAGAGAAAGGGGGAGAGAGAGAGGAACGAGAGGGTGAGCGCGGGGGGGGGAGGGGAGCAGGAAGAAGAGAGAGACAGAGAGAGAGTAACAGACAGAGAGAGAGAGAGAGAGAGAGAGAGAGAGAAGGGGGGAGGGAGAGAGAAAGAGAGGGGAGAGGGAGAGAGGAAGAGAGAGAGAGAGAGACAGAGAGAGAGAGAGAGAGAGAGAGAGAGAGAGAGAGAGAGAGTGAGCGGCGAAGAGAGAGAGAAAGGGAGAGAGCGAGAGGCTCGACGATTCAGAAATCACAAACAATAACATCCACCCACTCGCATACATACGCGCCCACCCATACACACACTGCAACCGTCAGATCGACCGCTTGACGGTGACGGCTTACGGCACAGGGAGAAAGAGAGAGAGATGGGAGGCGATTCCTCTCGCTCGTCCACAGACACCAGCAATTAACCCCGACAGTGCGATACGACGCCACCGAAGCTCACAGACCGTGAGTGAAGCTCACAGTAGGGCTTCACCAGCAGTAGGGCTTCACCACGCCTCTGTCGTCCAGCCGTCGTTATTCCGCTCGCGGCTTACACGGTCGGCGCGCGCCCTCATCCGGGGATTAACGAGCCGACGAGATTGCTGGCGGCGTCGTCGGCTGGGATTGCGTGGCGTGGTGTGGTGGTGGCAGGTAGCTGCGGGCCGGCTAGCGGAGGTTTACGGCGTAGAGTCTAGCTTAACGGCCCGATGTCGTGTGAATGCGAGTTCTGGATGGTTGGCTGAGGTCGTGGTGTTAGACACGGTGTGGATAGCGGTGGGAGGAGGCGGTAAGGGGGCGGCGGCAGGAGCGGTGGGAGGAGGCGGTAAGGAAGAGGGAAGGGAGGGAGGCGAGAGGGAGAGAGAGGGGTGAGGGAGGGAGAGGGAGAGAGAGGGGAGGGAGGGGAATGGAGGAGGTGGAGGAGGGAAAGAGGTGGGGAGGGAGGGGGAGGGGAAGGAGAGAAACGGGGAGGCGAAGGGACGAGGAGAGAGGGGAGGAGGGAGGGGAAGGAGGGGGAAGGAGGGGGGGTCTCTTTCTCACACGCACACCACACTCCACAGCAACCACACACCACACGCGCCAACCGACACGCACACGCCGACATGGCACGACAGCACGCGCACGCAGGCGCCGGGCCGCACGCGCGACAGCGCGACGCTGCACGCGGCACGCGCAACGCAGCGACACACACACACACGACACACGCACACACAACATACACAGCGCACACACACACACACAGCATCACACACATCACACCCACACACACGCACACGCACAGCGCGCTCGTCGCACCACAACACACACACACACACCGCCCACACACACACAACACAGTCACTCACCGTGAGTCGTGTAGCGGTGTCGCAGGGCGTTGCTCGTCGATAATCGCACACGATGGCCGCATAGGCGTGTCGCCTCTAGCAATGCACTGCAGCGACGCACTGCCTCTCCCAGCCGTACCGTCACCTCTTCCGTTTCCGTGTCAAACGTCGCCGGAACTAGAATCCATCGACAAAATGACAAATACCGGCCGTCAAGGTTACGTGCGGATTATGCCCCTCCCATCTCCCGCTAACTACATCTGCCACCAACAAGCAGCAGCTAGAGCGAAGTAGGGAAAGAGAGCGGGCGAGAGAGTGAAGAGAAAAGAGCGAGAGAGACAGAGAAAGAGAGAGATTGAGGGGGAGAGCGAGAGAGACAGAGAGAGAGAGAGAGAGATCAGAGAGAGAGAGAGAGAGGCGAGAGCCAACAGAGAGAGAGAGAGAGAGAGAGAGAGAGAGAGAGAGAGCGAGAGAGAGAGAAGAGGAAGAGAGAGAGCGCGAGAAGAGAGAGAGAGAGAAGAGAGACGAGAGAGTGAGAGATTGAGGGGGAGAGGCGAGAGAAGTGAGAGATTCAGGGGGGGGAGAGTGAAAGCGAGCGAGCGAGAGAGAGAGACGAGAGAAAGAGAGATAGCGGCGCGCTGAGGGAGAAATGAGAGACAGAGACAGAGACAGAGACAAGAGAGAGAGAAGAGAGAGAGAGAGAGAAGCGAGAAAAATAGAGAGAGAGAGAGAGAGAGAGAGAGGAGAGAGAGAGAAAGAGAGGAGTAGAGAGAGAGAGAGAGAGAGAGAGAGAGAAGAGGAAGAGAGAGAGAGAGAGAGAGAGAGAGAAGAGAACCCAGATGTTAGTTATTGCAGCACTAACGGTCGGCGTTAGTATACATATGTGGCTTAAGCGACGTAGCATAGTTAGTTAGTTATTTAGTTTAATTAGTCCGCCACGTTCTCTCAAGGACAACGGTAACCGAAGCCACCGTTTACTCTGCACAACAAATGCGGCCCGTGGATGGATTTGAGTAATTACTACGTAACTATGTGTTCTGATTAAGTGTATCGATACTTCCGGGGCATGGAGGGTAGCAGTAATTGCACTAGCAGTTTAGTTGTGAATAAGGGACCTTAATTATTATACGAATGCAAGCGCACACACATCACAACACACACGGAACACACACACACACACACAACCCACACACGCACGAACACACACCACAACCACGAACACAACCACACACACAACGCACGAACACACACACACACACCACACACCACACGAAGCACACACACCACACACACACACACACACACACACACGCGGCGGCGCGAGCGCCCAGCCAGGCACGCACGCACGCACAAACAACACACAACACACACACAAACACACACACACGCACACACACACACGAAACACACACACCGCCCACCACGCACGAACACACACACACACACACAACACACACAACACACACACACACACACACACACACACGCGCGCGCGCGCGCGCAAACGCACGAACCCCCCCAGCACACGCACACGCGCGCCCGAGCGGCGCAGGGCAGCCGCTACGGCATTACGGCGCCACAAACACACAGCACAGCACACGACACAACGAGCGACCCACCAAGTTCGCCACACACTACAAGCACAGCACACCACACACGTAACACCACACACACAGCTACATACGCCCGAACACACCACACACACAACACGACACACACACGACAGCACAGCACAGCACCACACGTGGGCGGCAGCGCGCAGCGTAACACCAGCACCGCGCAGGCACGCACTGCACGCACAAACACACACACACACAGCACGCACAAGGAACACAGGCACGCACGAACACATCCCGACACCGCACAACATGCGTCACACACCTGCACACACCAGCAGACACACAACACGCAGCGAACACACACACACACAACCCACACACAGCACACGGGCGCGCGCGCGCGCGCCGCACACAGCCAGCGAAGCAGCACAGCACACGCATGGCACGGCACGCAGGCGCACCAACCCACCAACACCACACAGCACGACACACACCTCCCTCACCACACACACACACATAAGCAGATCACAGCATAGCATGCTATGCATCGCAATTTCTTAACAAGATATATACCAACGCGCTCCTGAGACAATCATTTATAGTTATAAATGTATTCGAATGCTAAATTAATTGAGGCCTAATTCATGCACCGGAATAATAGTTTTTTAATCAGAAGTTGCCCAGAAAAACGAACCGAGTAGTTGATATAACGAACAAAAGCTTGCTAA